ATGACTGGCTGATGCACCACCTGTGCCCCCTACTGTGCCATCTTGCTGTGCTTTAGCCACCCGGAGCTCTGCTGGTTGTTGTGAGCGTCGCTCCTCCGCCCTCCGTTGTTGTTGGAGGGCGACGGCCTCCAACTTCCCAGTAGCGTCCTTCACGAGCCTCCTCCACAGAGGCCGATCTTGACACCGCTGGTACCAGTCATCGGCAAGTTCACTCGTCTCCATGTCCTCCTGTACCACATCACTCCATCTCTTCTCTAGCCCGTGCCGCGCCCGTTTAGCCCCGTCTATCCAGCCGAACAAACGCTGTTTAGGCATGTGGTGGCTGGGCATGCGGGCTACATGGCCCAGCCAACGCAGCCTTGCTTGCCAGAGGAGCTCACCGATGGGGCTTTGGCCAGATTTTTCAAGGATTTGTGAGCTCCTCACACAATCCAGCCTGGTTAAACCCAAGATGGATCGTAGGCAGGCCAGCCTAAATGTTTCTAATCGGCGAAGATGTTCCATTAGGGGAGTCCACGTTTCGCAAGCATCGCAAAGGGAGGGAATGACCGTGGCCGAGAAGACCTGAAGCTTCGTGCGGAGCGACAGACCAGGTAGCTTCCACACAGCGTTACGCAACTGATGAAAAGATAGCGCTGCTGGACTGATTCGGAGTGAGATCTCTGCTGTTAAACCGGAGCCAGTCATGAGTACACTGCCCAGGTATGGGGAACTCTCCACTCTCTCCACAACTGGCCCATCACCAATTGAGGGTTGTGGGGGTGGAGTGTCCGATGGTACAAAATACCCAGGCAGGTGCTTAGTTTTGGTGGGGCTGATGGTAAGGCCCCACCTCTTCGTAGCAAGCTCCAGGTTCAGCAGCAGCGCCTCCAACTCCTCCTATGAGTGAGCAGCAATTACAAGATCATCGGCATGCATAACATGGTTGACCAATCGGGAGCCATCCCTTGACCGCACCCATGCATCGATCAGCCTCCCATTGTATCTGTACCAGATGGAAATTCGTCCGGTACAGCTATTGAAGGCTTCACGAACTATGAGATCAAAATAGATGTTAAATAATGTGGGAGCCAGAGGACATCCCTGTCGCACCCCAAGGTGTACAGGGAAAGGCTCTGACTTCTGGCCACGTAGCTTTACCCGGGCCCACTCACCATCATGAAGGTCCTGAATGATCGTGAGCAGAGAGTTAGGGACTCCGAAAGCACGAAGAACAAATCAGAGCCCTGGCCTACTGATGTTATCATAGGCCCTGCCTACAGGTACTCACACACACAGACTAATAAAGACAAAGACAAAACAACCCGTATAGCCTTAGCATACTGTTGAGGCAAGTGCTGTTAGCGTGCACCTACGAAGGCCGGCACGACACACGAAGAGGTGGGTGGCCAGCACCACGCCCAGCCGCCTTTGTCTCCCCTGTGGCGATGTTTACACACTGCACCAGGTACTCATTTGAGGTTGAGTCGACCTAGGGGAGGCCCCAGACCGCTTCAGATATTCGTCACCGTTGTTGGCCGTGAGTGGGAATCAAACTCGGATCGCCGGATTTGTAGCGTAACGCACTAACCACTACACTGCCGCTCCCCAAAATAGACGATAGGCACTCACACCAGAGGTCGCAAACGGGTTTTGATTCCTTACCCGTACCCGGCCGCACCAGCGTCGCAAATGGGTAACCGTACCCTACCCGATACCCGGCTACCCGTACCCGGCCAGGTAACGGGTAGGGTACGGGTATCGGGTACCTGATTGCGACCTCTGGGATGAAGCCATGTTGCAGGCGCGGGTGGGTTGATTCTAGGAACTTGAATTGTGAGAACAGACAAGACGTTGGGAAATGAGTGACAAACGGTTACTCACCAGTGACTCACGGCCTACCCGTACCCGTACACGGCCGCACCAGGGTCACAAACGGGTACCCGGCTACCCGTACCCGGCCGGGTACGAGTAGCCGGGTATCGGGTAGGGTACGGGTATCGGGTACCCGGTTGCGACCTCTGACTCACACACTCTCTCCCCACTCTCTCCCCGTGCAGTGCCATTCTCTACCTGAACGACGACTTTGAAGGAGGAGACTTCATCTTCACCGCACTCGACGCGGAGACCGTCACGGTGAGTGTGGCACGCGGTGTGGTACGCGGTGAGTGTGGTACGCTGTGAGTGTGGTAGGTGGTGAGTGTGGTAGGTGGTGAGTGTGGCAGGCGGTGAGTGTGGTACGCGGTGAGTGTGGTGCGCGGTGAGTGTGGTAGGTGGTGAGTGTGGCAGGCGGTGAGTGTGGCAGGTGGGGAGTCTGTTGTGCGGTGAGTGTGTTGTGTGGTGAGTGTGGTACGTGGTGAGTGTGGTACGTGGTGAGTGTTGTGTGGTGTGCGGTGAGTGTGTTGTGTGGTGAGTGTGGTACGCGGTGAGTGTGGTACGCGGTGAGTGTGGTAGGCGGTGAGTGTGGCAGGCGGTGAGTGTGGCAGGTGGTGAGTCTGTTGTGCGGTGAGTGTGTTGTGTGGTGAGTGTGGTACGTGGTGAGTGTGGTACGTGGTGAGTGTTGTGTGGTGTGCGGTGAGTGTTGTGTGGTGTGTGTGTCGCGTGGTGCTGCAGACGGCGGTGAGTGTGGCAGGCGGTGAGTGTGTTGTGCGGTGAGTGTGGTACGTGGTGAGTGCGGTACGTGTGGTGTGTGTGGTGTGTGTGTTGTGCGTGTGTCGTGGTGCGGCAGGCGGCGGTGAGTCCGCGTTGTGGCCGCCTGGTGGCGTTCTCCGCGGGCAGCGAGAACCCGCACGGGGTCCGCGCCGTGACCCGCGGGCGCCGCTGCGCACTCGCGCTGTGGTTCACCTTCGACGTGGCCAGCCGCGAGAAGGTGAGCCCACAACCACCACCACAACCACTGCCACAACCAACACCACCACTACCACCACCACAACTACCACAATCACCACCACTACCCAAACCACTACCACAACCTTCACAACCACCACCACTACAACCACCACCACCACTACCACTTACTCTCACTACACACTCTCATTACCTACCACACAAACTCCCCACTCGGTGCTGTGCTGTGCAGTAGCGCGTTGTCGACAGCAGGTGGAGGCACACTCACTGCGATGAGGGCCACATCCACTCTGACTCACCCACTCACTCACTCACCTACCCACTCACTCATCCACTCTCTCACTCACCCACTCACTCACTCACCCACTCACTCACTCACCCACCCACTCACTCACTCACTCACCCACTCACCCACCCTCTCACCCACTCGATCACCCACGCACCCACCCACCCACTAACTCACCCACTCACCCTCTCACTCACCCGCTCTCTCACTCATCCACTCACTCACCCACTCACTCACCCACTCACTCACTCACCCACCCACTTACCCACTCACTCACCCACTCACTTACCCACTCACTCACCCACTCACTCACTAACTCACTCACTAACTCACTCACCCACTCACTCACCAACTCAGCCACCAAGTCACCCACTCACTCATCCACTCACTCACCCACTGACCCACTCACTCAACCACCCACTCCCCCTCTCATTCACCCCCTCACACACCCACTCACCCATCCACCCGCTCACTCACCCACTCACTCAACCACCTACTCACCCACGGACTCACCCACTCACTCACCCACTCACCCACCCACTCACCCACTCACTCACCCACCGACCCACCGACCCACCCACTCACCCTCTCAGTCACCTCCTCACCCACCCACCCACTCACTCACCCACCCACTCACCCACTCACTCACCCACCGACCCACCCACTCACCCTCTCAGTCACCACCTCACCCACCCACCCACTCACTCACCCACCCACTCACCAACTCACTCACCCACCGACCCACTCACCCTCTCAGTCACCTCACCCACCCACTCACCCACTCACCCACTCACTCACCCACCGACCCACCCACTCACCCTCTCAGTCACCTCCTCACCCACTCACTCACTCACCCACCCACTTACCCACTCACTAACCTACGCACTCACCTACTCAACCACCCACTCACCCATCTACTCACCCACTCACTCACCCACTCACCCACCCACTGACCCACTCACTCAACCACCCACTCCCCCTCTCATTCACCCCCTCACACACCCACTCACCCATCCACCCATTCACTCACCTACTCACTCAACCACCTACTCACTCAACCACCTACTCACCCACTCACTCACACACCCACTCACTCATCCACGGACTCACCCGCTCACCCACCCACTTACCCTCTCAGTCACCTCCTCACCCACCCACTCACCCTCTCAGTCACCTCCTCACCCACCCACTCACCCACTCACTCACCCACCGACCCACCCACTCACCCTCTCAGTCACCCACCCACTCACTCATCCACGGACTCACCCGCTCACCCACCCACTCACCCTCTCAGTCACCTCCTCACCCACCCACCCACTCACCCTCTCAGTCACCTCCTCACCCACCCACCCACTCACCACCGCTGGGGTCTTCGGCTCCGGGGACTCTCAGACACTCGGTGGGGTGGGGACTCCGGGGGCTGCCCTTGCCCCCCTCCCCCCCTGCCCCTCCCCCCTGCCCCTCCCCCCCTGCCCCTCTCACCCTGCCCCTCTCTCCCTGCCCCTCTCTCCCTGCCCCTCCCCCCCTGCCCCTCTCCCCCTGCCCCTCTCACCCCGCCCCTCTCAACCCGCCCCTCCCCCCCTGCCCCTCTCACCCCACCCCTCCCCCCCTGCCCCTCCCCTGCCCCTCTCTCCCTGCCCCTCTCTCCCTGCCCCTCCCCCCCCTGCCCCTCTCCCCCTGCCCTTCTCCCCCTGCCCTTCTCCCCCTGCCCTTCTCCCCCTGCCCTTCTCCCCCTGCCCTTCTCCCCCTGCCCTTCTCCCCCCGCCCTTCTCCCCCTGCCCTTCTCCCCCTGCCCCTCTCCCCCTGCCCCTCCCCCCCTGCCCCTCCCCCCCCTGCCCCTCTTACCCTGCCCCTCTCTCCCTGCCCCTCTCTCCCTGCCCCTCCCCCCCTGCCCCTCTCACCCTGCCCTCTCCCCCCCAGCCCCTCTCTCCCTGCCCCTCTCTCCCTGCCCCTCTCTCCCTGCCCCTCCCCCCTGCCCCTCCCCCCTGCCCTTCTCCACCTGCCCCTCTCTCCCTGCCCCTCTCACCCCGCCCCTCTCACCCTGCCCCTCTCACCCCACCCCTCCCCCCCTGCCCCTTGCCCTGCAGGAGAGGGTCCGTGCCGAGGACCTCATGAGGGAGATGTTCTCCGAGGAGGACGCCCTGCAGCAAATCCGCACGGAGGGGGAGCAGCAGAGGGACGAGCTCTGAGCAGAGCTCACGACACCCTGCACCTCGCACACGACACCCTGCAGCTCACTCACGACACCCTGCACCTCGCACACGACACCCTGCACCTCACTCACGACACCCTGCACCTCACACACGACACCCTGCACCTCGCACACGACACCCTGCACCTCACTCACGACACCCTGCACCTCACACACGACACCCTGCACCTCGCACACGACACCCTGCACCTCACTCACGACACCCTGCACCTCACTCACGACACCCTGCACCTCACACACGACACCCTGCACCTCACTCACGACACCCTGCACCTCACACACGACACCCTGCACCTCACACACGACACCCTGCACCTCACTCACGACACCCTGCACCTCACACACGGCGCCCTGCACCTCACACACGACACCCTGCACCTCACACACGACACCCTGCACCTCACACACGACACCCTGCACCTCACTCACGACACCCTGCACCTCACTCACGACACCCTGCACCTCACACACGACACCCTGCACCTCACACACGACACCCTGCACCTCACACACGACACCCTGCACCTCACACACGACACCCTGCACCTCACTCACGACACCCTGCACCTCACACACGGCGCCCTGCACCTCACACACGGCGCCCTGCACCTCACACACGACACCCTGCACCTCACACACGACACCCTGCACCTCACACACGACACCCTGCACCTCACTCACGACACCCTGCACCTCACTCACGACACCCTGCACCTCACACACGACACCCTGCACCTCACACACGACACCCTGCACCTCACTCACGACACCCCGCACCTCACACACGGCGCCCTGCACCTCACTCACGACACCCTGCACCTCAATCACGACACCCTGCACCTCACTCACGACACCCTGCACCTCACACACGGCGCCCTGCACCTCACACACGGCGCCCTGCACGAGACGCCCTGCCGAAAGAAACCACCTTTTGTAAAAAATACAGAATCACAGAATAAACCGCGCGATGGCATCGCGCCCCGCCTGAGACTCTCATTGTCGACCCAAGCGTGTCCAGTGAATACAACATCACCGTCAACATCGTCATCAACATCATCATCACCATCAACATCACTGTCAACATCAACATCACCATCAACATCGTCAACATCGTCATCAACATCGCCATCGTCAACATCACCATCGTCAACATCACCATCAATATCATCAACATGCCCATCGTCAAAATCACAATCAACATCACCATCAACATCCCCATCAACATCACCATTAACATCCCCATCGTCAACATCGTCAACATCGTCAACATCACTGTCAACATCAACATCATCAACATCACCATCAATATCAACATCCCCATCGTCAACATCACCATCAACATCGTCAACATCACTGTCAACATCAACATCCCCATCAACATCACCATCAACATCCCCATCAACATCGTCAACATCACCATCGTCAACATCGTCAACATCACCATCAACATCACCATCATCACCATCATTATCAGCAGCATCGTGACCACCACGACCATGACATCACCATCATCACCATCATCACCACCATCATCGTGACCACCAGGACCATGACATCACCATCATCATCAGCAGCATCGTGACCACCACGACCATGACATCACCATCATCCTCGTCACTCCGTGGTGTTCACCCAGGGGGCGACTCTGCGAGTCTCTTGGTCCAGGAGGGCTTCCTGCCACGAGCGATGTTGCTGCGGTTTGAACGAAGTCGCGATCCCATTTCGGTTGATTTGCAGCTGAAACAATCAGCCGCCGGGGACCAGATTGTGACCGATGCCTCTTCCACTGTGCGTGGGGAGCGGTGGCGCAGCGGTTAGCGCTACGCCGCGCTACGAACACGACCACCCGAGTTCGATTCCCGCTCACGGCCAACAGCCCGTGTGATGAGTATCTGAACTTATCCTGGACCTCCCCTAGGTCGACTCGGACTCAAATGAGTACTTGGTGTGCGGTGTGTAGTAAACATCGTCACTGGGGAGACAAAGGCGGCCGGGCGTGGTGTTGGCCACCCACCCCCTCGTGTGCCGTGTCGGCCTTCATAGGTGCTCGCTAACAGCACTTGTCCCTACAGTCTGTTGAGGCTACACGGGGGATCTTTGTCTATGTCAGTGTGTGTGTCTTTGTCAGTGGCACTGTATGTCTGTATGTCTGTATGTGTGTCAGTGTCACTGTGTGTACATGTGTATGTCTGTGTGTGCGTGTCAGTGTCAGACTGTAACAACTACAGGGGCATCTCACTCCTCAGTGTGCCGGGAAAGGTCCTGGCAAGAATTATTCAACATCGCCTTGCTAGGCACGCTGAGGAGAGGCTTGCGGAACCCCAATGCGGTTTCAGGAAAGGGCGGTCCTGCACAGATGCCATATTTTCTGTCCGTCTGCTACAGCAGAGGTGTAGGGAATTCCAACAAGACCTACATCTCTGCTTTATTGACCTGGTCAAGGCCTATGATACCATCAGTAGGCCTGGGCTCTGGGTTGTTATTCGTGCTTTCGGAATCCCTGACCCTCTACTCACGATCATTAAGGACCTTCATGATGGTGAGCGGGCCCGGGTAAAACTACGTGGCCGGGAGTCAGAGGCTTTCCTTGTACACCTTGGGGTGCGACAGGGATGTCCTCTGGCTCCCACATTACACTGGTCAACAATTTTTATTTTTGTATTTTCTGGCCTGGACTTTTGCAGCTGTTTTAGACTAATTTCAGGGTGCTGATTCCAAATTTGATCTCAGATTTTCTCTATCACATCTCATTTTTATGCTATCGGCATACCCCATTTTCATTGATTTTACCCGAAATTAACTCTGTCACTTATGATTGCAAGTTGTTGCGAGTCAGTGACTGCTTTAGTGTTAAAATATGGTGCTGTATTTTTAGGATAGTGTGTTTATAATATCATTTTATGTAGATATCCACATTTATTTAATATTTTTCTTCTGCAGGGCGTGATCTAACAATGGCTACAACATCCGAAAGAAGGAAATGCAGTAATGACCCAGATATCTTCTGCTACATCTGTGGCAGCTTCACTTTGCAGGATCAAAGGCGCAACATCAATACCTTTGTCAAGAAGGTTTATCTTGCCTACTTTAAAGTACGACTTGGAGACCAAGACAAAAATTGAGCTCCTCACAAAGTGTGTAAAACCTGTGTTGAAACTTTGCGATCATGGTCTAAAGGAAGGAATGCTAAGCTGAAGTTTGGTGTGCTAATGGTTTAGAGAGAACCTACAAACCATTTGGATAACTGCTACTTCTGCCTTGTCAATGTAAAAGGTTTCAATAAGAAAAACAAACAACACCTACAATACCCAGGTATCACATCTGCCAGACGACCAGTTGAGCACTGTGACGAAATACCTGTGCCTGTATTTACTGAACCACCAGAGATTGATGTTGAATCCCTCAGTTTACCTGCTTCTACAGATTATGATGCTCAGATCGAATCTACGCCATCTGATGCAGATTGTGATAAAATGTCCTTGTTTAGTCAGCCTGAATTGAATGATCTTGTAAGAGATTTGTATTTGCCAAAGCAGTCCGCTGAATTGTTGGCTTCCAGGCTGCAAGAGAAAGGACTACTCAGACCTGGCACTAGTGTCTCCTTTTATCGTAACAGAGAAGCAGCACTGCGAAAGTACTTCCATTCAGATGGTCAACTTGTTCATTGGAATGATGTTGAAGGGCTTCTTCTCAATATGGGACTGCCCGCATATGATTCAAGTGAATGGGGACTTTTTATTGACAGTAGTAAAAGGAGTTTGAAATGTGTGTCACTTAACAACAGAAATATATATGGTTCAATCCCAATAGGACACTCTGTAAAAATGAATGAAGCGTATGCCAACATCAAAATTGTTCTGGATAGATTGGAATACCATGTTCATGGATGGCTAATTTGTGTTGATTTGAAAATGGTTAATTTTCTGCTGGGTCAGCAAGGAGGTCACACCAAATACCCTTGTTTCCTGTGCTACTGGGACAGTAGGGCTACATTAGAACACTGGGTTAAAAAGAACTGGCCACCAAGAATCAGTTTGACGCCTGGTGACAAGAACATCAAGAATGAGCCTCTGGTTGATAGGAATAAAATTGTATTTCCCCCACTGCACATAAAACTTGGGTTAATGAAGCGATTCGTCAAAGCTCTTGATCACACTGGAGACTGCTTCAGCTTAAGTGAGGGAAAAAAGTATTTGATCTCCTGCTGATTTTGTACATTTGCCCACTGACAAAGAAATTATCAGTCTATAATTTTAATGTTAGGTTTATTTGAACAGTGAGAGACAGAATAACAACAACAAAATCAAGAAAAACGCATGTCAAAAATGTTATAAATTGATTTGCATTTTAACGAGGGAAATAAGTATTTGACCCCTCTGCAAAACATGACTTAGTACTTGGTGGCAAAACCCTTGCTGGCAATCACAGAGGTCAGACGTTTCTTGTAGTTGGCCACCAGGTTTGCACACATCTCAGGAGGGATTTTGTCCCACTCCTCTTTGCAGATCTTCTCCAAGTCATTAAGGTTTCGAGGCTGACGTTTGTAACTCGAACCTTCAGCTCCCTCCACAGATTTTCTACGGGATTAAGGTCTGGAGACTGGCAAGGCCACTCCAGGACCTTAATGTGCTTCTTCTTGAGCCACTCCTTTGTTGCCTTGGTCGTGTGTTTTGGGTCATTGTCATGCTTGAATACCCATCCACGATCCATTTTCAATGCCCTGACTGAGGGAAGGAGGTTCTCACCCAAGATTTGACGGTACATGGCCCCGTCCATCGTCCCTTTGATGCGGTGAAGTTGTCCTGTCCCTTTAGCAGAAAAACACCCCAAAAGCATAATGTTTCCACCTCCATGTTTGACGGTGGGGATGGTGTTCTTAGGGTCATAGGCAGCATTCCTCCTCCCAACACGGCGAGCTCAGTTGACGCCAAAGAGCTCCATTTTGGTCTCATCTGACCACAACACTTTCACCCAGTTGTCCTCTGAATCATTCAGATGTTCATTGGCAAACTTCAGACGGGCATGTGTATGTGCTTTCTTGAGCAGGGGGACCTTGCGGGCGCTGCAGGATTTCAGTCCTTCACGGCGTAGTGTGTTACCAACTGTTTTCTTGGTGACTATGGTCCCAGCTGCCTTGAGATCATTGACAAGATCCTCCCGTGTAGTTCTGGGCTGATTCCTCACCGTTCTCATGATTATTGCAACTCCACGAGGTGAGATCTTGCATGGAGCCCCAGGCTGAGGGAGATTGACAGTTATTTTGTGTTTCTTCCATTTGCGAATAATCGCACCAACTATTGTCACCTTCTCACCAAGCTGCTTGGTGATGGTCTTGTAGCCCATTCCAGCCTTGTGTAGATCTACAATCTTGTCCCTGACATCCTTGGAGAGCTCTTTGGTCTTGGCCATGGTGGAGAGTTTGGAATCTGATTGATTGCTTCTGTGAACAGGTGTCTTTTATACAGGTAACAAGCTGAGATTAGGAGCACTCCCTGGGAGCCAGAAATCTTTCTGATTGAGAGGGGGTTAAATACGTATTTCCCTCATTAAAATGCAAATCAATTTATAACATTTTTGACATGCGTTTTTCTGGATTGTGTTGTTGTTATTCTGTCTCTCACTGTTCAAATGAACCTACCATTAAAATTATAGACTGATAATTTCTTTGTCAGTGGGCAAACGTACAAAATCAGCAGGGGATCAAATACTTTTTTCCCTCACTGTATATATGTTCAACCTTTTCAAGCCTTAGTGCCGAGAAGAAAAAGGCAGGAATATTTGATGGCCCTCAAATAAGAACACTCATCAGGGATCCACACTTTGTTACAACAATGACTGCGGCAGAGGCTAGAGCTTGGAATGCATTCTCTGATGTGGTGCGGAATTTCCTTGGGAACAGGCAAGCGGACAACTATCGAGAGATTGTGGAGGAGCTGCTCTTGAGTTTCCAAGCACTTGGATGTAGAATGAGCATCAAGGT